GAGAAAAGAGAGGCGAGCACACTAAATTAAAACGAAAACCAGAAGCAAAGAACATCAGTAATAATATCCAAATTTATGATAAATAAACTTGTAGATATTTCTAGCTAATACTATATAAATAGATGATCATCACTTTTTGTGGGAAAACTTTACATTGGACAAATAAAGCAATAGGTCACTATTTTATAAGAATTTAAGTGTGCAAAATCGCGCCTTCTGGATGTTTTCTCTAATTGAAATAACAGTATTATATTTTATTCACTAAATATGCTCTAAAATGATAGAATTTCAATATCTGGATATATGCTACTATTCCTCATGTGGAACCTGCTAACTATTCATTATGTTAATAAAGTGCTTTAATTGAGCGGCAGAGTTAAAATCTTTTCATAGTATTGTTTAATGTTACCCTTTCTTCCATTCTAGAAATTTTTGTAGAAAACTGTATGTTAGCCCCTAAACCTAGCCTGCCTAGGCTATGTTAGCCTGTATGTTAGCCTCTGTATGTTAGATAATTTTCTAGCTGTCTAGGCTATTTTGCAAAGGAGAGTGCCATAAGGGGTATATACCTGTAGTGAGTCTTCACTGAAAATCCATTTTTCTGAATATGGTGAATATTGGTGAACATTGGAATTTTGTTGCTATTAACAATCTAACGCATATCCACTTAAAGTGATTACGTCACGAATTTCTAGCATCATCAAGTAGTATATTTGTCTGTTATTTGTACAAAATAAAAGTGTATGAAAATACAATTAGTGTTCTGCTTACTTTTCATGCTTATATCTTTTTTATATGCCCTAATTTGCCGGTGAAAAACAGAGAGACGCCAATATCTGAACAGTACTGGGCGGAATAGTGTTAGACAACAGAAATTACCAAATCGTCTAGATTTTTGGAAATTTCACCAACGTAAAAAACATTTTATCAGGTGAGAGTTTGAGGATATATTTAGTAACGTTAGTTCTTACTTTTAATGAAAAAAAATGGCAATTTTTTTTACAAATTTTACCATGGAAAATTCGTGACGTATCATTAAAACTCATAGCTGCTATTCACTCATCAAAACTAGTTAAATTAGAACAATGTAGATATTTGCTACTAAAAAATTTAAACGTCATCATTTTCCTAATTTCCAGGGAAAATGTTATGTTTTCATTATTATGTGTTAGAACACTTGCTTTACATCAGTTTCGCCAATGTATCAGCACATTTAACTATTTTGGTAAAAATCTGTGGTATCATCACAACAGCATAGGGATATTTGTTACCTACTACCCTAGTGCTGATTATGGTGATTACGATGATTATGCTGATTATGCTGATGATGTTGATATTGATGATGGTGATAAAGACGACGATGAAGACGACGAATGATATTGTCGGTGTTGCCGCTCTTGCCGCTTCTGTCACAGAATCCGCCCACGCCCCTAATTCTCTTGATATTGCTGCCTCTGCATGATGACAGTATTTTACTTTTAGATTGTCTTTGTGCTTTTTGATTGCCGCACATTTTAAAGCGAGAATTTCACATGTTTTACCAACTATTTTCATATTTTCTCTACCCTTTTGATACTTACCGCGGTACTCTTTGCATAACACCAAACGTATATAGTAAGGCTAACATGGCATAGAAAACTCGCATAACATTCTTTTCACCAATATGCAATATGTTCACCGATCTGCATTTCAAATTAGTGTTTACATATTATGTTAACAAACCTATATAGCGCGTGAATTTTGCTCTTGAAATACCGGAACGCTGGCCTTAATTACCTTTGTATACATTTCGAGATAAATACCAGTCTATAAATATTTGCGTCACGTAACTACGTGCACTGGTTTTGTTGGACTATTTGAACATTACATTATGCCGAATCTAAAGATAGCGGGCGCACGTTTGCTGTTCATTTACTGTGTTACAGCTTATTATTAACAGTACATATTTGTTGTGATTGTTATGCCGGAGTAATCAGTTAAAATCCGCTAATAGGTGAGACCCAAATTGCCTACACTTATGCAGCTTGACGACCTATTCGTGACATAGTTAATTTAAATTACTTTGATTAGTCTGTGGATTTACTACAAGTAATCTTCAGTTAACACTTGCAGATTAACCCCATTATATCGAAAACGATTTCCAGAACAAAAAGATGGACGGACGGACGGACGGACGGACGGACGGACGGACGGACGGACGGACGGACGAACGGACGAACGGACGGACGGACGGACGGACGGACGGACATTCGAATTACCACGTGTCGGGTGGTTGCGTTTATGACGGGTTCCTGCTTCCATAACATGTAGCATCTCGCGCTGCCCGCTATACGAATTCGCGCGCCGAAGGAGGGCGGGCGCGTGAATCCGTATAGCGGGAAGCGTAACATCGCGCAGTTTTCGTCAGACGTACACCGGCTTGACTACGGCGGCCTTGTGGGAGGGCATTTCCTGTTGCTGCTGGTATCTGTCTAAATGGACAAAAAGGGGGCGGCGTATTCGTTGTGGGGGCGCGGCTTCGCCGCGAGCTGTACGCTGCGCGCAATAACGGGGGCCGCATGTCAGGTGTCACACGTTTGAATATAGGCTAATCCGATACATTCCCGCGCATTCACGTCTGTGCGTCACGACATCGTGACTGTATATCGACGTTGAGAGTATAGATTAGTCGCCTTGGTCACTCGATCTGCATGCACGCAATTGTTTCATATTCCCTCAGTCGCAAGATGTCGTTGATGATTCGACGCCGCTAAATGTCTACAAAGCGCTAGCGCAGTTGAGGGCTGAAACAGCATTCCGCACCGGTGCCATCGAATTAGCTGATGGTAGCGATAATCTCATCGTCTTTGGTCGAAATGATGTAAACGCGGGCACTAAATCTTACCTCGTCATCATAAATGTCGGCTGGCACGATCAAACCTACAATCATGCAAGCGGATCGAAATCTAAGGTACACGTGACGCTTTATCGATTATACTGCAATAGCAAAAAATATAGCCGCCCAGCGACGATATGTCATTTCATTATCGTCCACTATTTGCCGTAGCGATCTACGTAAACTGTCTAAATATCACAGCTATCACGGTGACATTTAGAACACGGCCCATCACCACCCGCTTTCTATTTATATTTGGTAATTGTGCTGCGATGTTCATAATTGCGTGTTTTACCCTAATCGTTTTGTTCCCATTCTGCTTTTAATGCGTTCTTCGTGATAATCATGAGATAGGTAATTGTGGTTTGTCGTTTTGCTATTATTTGCTGTTAATGTTGACATAATTATAAGCGATCGCAATTGCTCCGTGGTGCAGGCGCTTTCGATTTCATGTATAATAGCTTTGAAGTGTGCAGTAAATTCTAACATTCATCAAACTTGACATTTCGAGTTACACCGCTTCGTGTTAATGATGAATTTCCGGTTCGACGCAAACTGCGATTAGTCATCATATACGCATGAGCGATTCGAATACGTTTCGCTACTAAATAGCCGACAGCTGGTTTACGTAGTTATTTAAAGCTCTGCTACTATTCTATAGCGTCTTTGGGGTTTTTTGCTGTATTTTGCATATAAGAATAAATGGAATGGCGTGTGTATGTTTCTCATCAAATTATTATTGTCAGTGATATACTACAGTGAATCACAATGAAATGTTTGCGTGTGTGAAAGTTGCATGTGTGAAAGTTGCGCAAAGGTACGATTTCATAACTCAACTACGTTAGATTATTAGAGTGAGAGATCCGGTCATTCACCTGCTAGTATTAACTGTGTTTTCTATGCGCAGGTTGCCATGCAGTTCGGCTTGGAGTTTTCCGTTGATGACATAGTCGACATAACAGCTGGCATAAGCCTCCAACCCGCAGCATTCATAGTGCTGGAGGTTTACGATTAATTATGTAGTAAGAGAATGCTATCCAGGAAACCGCCGGGGACAATGTGACTATGACTTCCTGAAGATTAATTTTACACGTGATGTTTGCACAATAGGTTTATTGTATAATATCAGATGTTGTATATATCAACTGGCCTAACTGGCCAAACTGTCATTCTCTTGCTCATGTGTTATAGATGTGTTATTAGATGTGTTTGCGTGCGTGTGAGCGTGAGTGGGGCGGGTGTGGGTACGCCTGTTCGTATATACATGTACATGTATATATATATATATATATATATATATATATATATATATATAAT